AGTTTAGAAACAAATTTTTCCGTGGTTGCCCAGCCCTAATACACACACATACACATACAAAACACATATACACAGACTGAGCCACAGCAACGCATAGCAGGGGATGGCTAGTGCAAAATAAATGCAATCACAAAAACAATAAGAAGAAGAAGTTTTACTGAGAGGAAAGTGGTTTCCTTGCAAGAACTGTACACAGAGCCAGGCCCTGAGAGCAATGAGACCAAAAAGAAAGGTAAGGGGTCCAATCTGTGATTCCTACCCCTGATTTAGAGAAAGCTTGAAAAAGTTACTTTTTCTGGACCAGGCTGGTTTGGGGATTCTGGGAAATGCAGTGTAGAAAAGCAGACGTGAAGTCTCCCCCAATACAAAAAAGTCAGGATGCATCTTGACTGAGTTTCCTGCCTTGCCAGGGATCCTTTCTATAGTCATGAGTCCGCTCCGGGTTTTAGTCCAAACTTTAACCCAAGAGTCCAAGGTGCGGAGGGCCCCCACTTTTGTTCCTTCTTTCACTTCCCGAGGGCGGCCGCCACTTCCCTCTCCATCCCAGCCACAAACTGGTCGTTGAGGAAGAGCAGCTGTCCGTGGGGCAGGAACCGGCCGAGGACGACCTCCGTCCGCTCGGCCTTGAGCAGCACGTCGCTCCCGGAGCCCAAGAGGCGGAGGTGGTCCAGGAGGGAGCGGGCCACGCTGCGGAGGGTGCCCTCGGCCAGGAGCAGGTTCTCCTGGGGGCCACAGACCAGGGCGAAGGCCACGCAGTGCACGCCCAGCCACAGCACCGTCAGCTCCCCTTCTGCCAGTGGGAAGGGGTCGCCGGGGGGCAGGCGGAAGGCCCCCGATGGGGCATCCTGGAGCGGGGCGGGGTCCTCGGGGGGCAGGGCCAGCGGCTCCCAGGAGGGCCTCCCCGCGGCCTGCAGGTGCAACTTGCAGGAGGAGTCCACCTGCCTGGAAAGGAAGACAAGCAAGGAAGGAGAAATGAAACTCTCTGGGCCGGGGGATTCGCCGGCCTTTGTCTCGCCCACTTCCTACACTGACAGCAAAGATAGTAGGCAAGGTCCTGTGGGGCACTGACAAATAGGTCTCAAATACAGGTACATGTTACAACCCGCTTCCTGCTCAAATGCATTACAACCTCCGTATCCACAGGTAAACTTGAGGAAGTCACTCTGCAGTGAACCTTTCTGGACCAGGGGTTTCGCTAGCCTTTCTTTCTGTCATTGCCCAACATCCCAGGCTGATAACCAAAGACGGCGGAGAACCCTGTGCCACTCTTCGATCCTGTGTGGCACTGATAACATCATGATCCCTCTTTCTACGGGCATACATTATGACTGCCATATCCCCAAGTATGCAAAGACCCCTGCATTCATGAACTCTGCATGAAGCCACACGTAACAGCCCATAACCCTTCCGAAATTAAGTGCACCTGCCGTGACACAGGGGTATTTTTCTACCAAAATGACCAGCAGAAATTAACTGAAACCTGGGTGTTTTCCTTGACCTCATTGCAACCAACACCAGTCCCAATCAGACCTCTAG